AGAGAGAGAGAGAGAAGAAACCGTGTGCTGACACTATCGGACCGAAGAAACCGCCCTTATCAACGGGCAACATGAATCCGGAAGCGGGGCGACATGCACAAAGGACAAATAATATGRCGGTGTATCTTTCCATGTTCTGGCGGAAGATTCATTCATTCGTTGGGTGGTGGAGAGCGAAGGGTATGCAGTGATTCACTTAGGCAGATATGAACACAATGCCGCCATGAATGACAAAGAGAGATTTACACAGCAATTCCACATGATGAGCAGTGGGTAGAATCGGGGAGGAGAGGGAGGGGGCACTCACATAAGGTGCCGATCAATATGTCCCATTGGTCAACACCAGGAAACTTCGCTGCATTACTGATAAAGCCCATTTTTCTTTCATCCATTATCCGCACTGGATACATATCCTCCACCTTTTCAAAAGGACGATTGCAAGTTCCATTGGCGTTCGTGACATTACACCGGAACAAAGGTGCAATGGAGCTGTCCCCCCCCTCCCTAGGCATGCCTGAGCGATAGAGGCGCATAACAACATCCCTGGGACGCTCATGCATGTAGTCATCTGCGGATGACAATTCACCAAGCCAGCCAGCGTAGAGATCACTCGGTTGAAATGGTGTACTATTTTGTCGACCATAGGCGGGCAACATAGTCTCCCAGCGATAAAAAAGGCTCCTTCCTGACATTGTTTGGAACCCTGCCGTGGTGCCAATTGGACTGTACCTGAACAAGGCCCATGCAACTGCTTGCACCTGCCAATGTGCAGAAAGACCACAAACTGTGCCATAATTAGAGTGGATATAGGGTACAGATGCCACCAAATGCAGAAATGTTTGTGAATTTCAACTTCTTTTGTCATCACGTCAGTCGTAGAACTCGATTCTTTGAGTTATTTTGAGAGGACCTGACTGCCCTTCCCCTCAACGAGCATTGGCCGCGAGGGAGGGTTTGTGGCAAGCTGTGGGCCAATACAGAGTGCTTTGAGTCTGTCTGATTGCCTTCATCTACGATCGAAACTGTATGAAATGTGCTCTTCTGCCTAACTGTCATACACACACAGAACGTGCATGTAGCATTTTCCTGAGCGTGAGTGTCTCTAGTTCAGGATGGGCATTCATTGAAGTGAATATCTTTAAACACCGAGTGTATGATTGAAAGGATCGTATCGGGACAAAACCCTTGGTAAACAAAAAAGGAAAACAGATAAAACCGATAAATGATGATGGAGACAAAAAGTGTGATGGTTTTGAGCGCTTGTTCCTTTGAGTGACACACCCTTGTCGCCCTTGGTGCAAACAATGCTTCACCAAGAAACAAAAAACGAAAGAAATGGAAAAAGAGATACTTTCAGAGAAGGGACACAAAGAAACTGAAATAATACAAAAGCCGAGAAAGAAACACAAAAAGTAAACATTAGTCCCTCGACACAGGCCCCAAAGCAAAATGAAGCAAAACAAAAATCCGTGCCGTCTCGGCCTCTTCGCCACATGGCTGACACAATCAGCTCTTTCACATGAGCTCAGGAGTTCAGGAGATGGGTCTGGACATGTACAGTTACCATCTTCTGTCTGGACCCCTTTGGACTGGTTTGTGAGCATCATGATTTTTTTTTTTATTTTTTTTTTTTTTTTTTCTCTTTAAGAAAAACAGGTCCTTATGGTCCTGGCTCCATATCCATTCTGGGGAGCGTCAGTCTGGTTCCTATTCCCCCGACAAGTCAAAATAACAGTATTACATCGTATACCCACTCACACATCCTTCTGTCTGGCCGAAGGATCCCTGGACAGCAGTGATTGCTCCACTTGGTGGAGGACTGACTGCCAGCTTGCCTTTCCCTGTGATTCCTCTCAGAGTGCCCATCAGAGCCCCTGTCAGATAAATTTAAACTCAAGAACCTCAGAGAACCGCTGCTGCAGTTCTTGATTGTTGAGCCCCTGTTGTTTGTACGTGTACTCATGAACGTCTGTCCGTGCTATGTAGTGCTGAAGTCCTGAGGCTGTGGGATGTGTGTGTCCTGTGCTCTCTGAAGCGGACAGGAGGTGTGCCAGTCTTTCCACCTGAGATGGAGTCCTTGAATGAGCGCCACCTTTCCATTGACCAGCCATACTTTCATGAATTTCGCCAAAAATTATTGCTGCTTCTCCTGGTTTTCCTGAGCTTGAATCCTGACTTTCTTCCATTGGGAGAAGACTTCAGTCTCCATTAGGGACTTGGTTGTCGCCCATACCTTCTCACGTGGATTGCTGGAGTTGTCCAAGGTTCTGCTGCATCTTTCCTTCCATATGACCCAGAGATCCACCTTTCGAATCATGCCGTACCAGATGCTTTCCGACTCGTTAAGGTTAGTAGGAATGTTGGTCCATAGGAGTAGTTGGACTGGGTGTTCGGAGAAGGGAGAAGAAAACAGGTAGTTCCATAGAGCGCCATGAATTTCTATGGGTGCTCGGAGGGCAGTTTCAAGTTCTCAGGTAAGACCCCAGCCTGGCAGTCTGCAAATTTTCCACACTACTGTGCATGAAGGCAATTGTCTCTGACACCTCGCGATTCCTTTTCCACAACAGAAAATTGTCAGGGTGTGCGGCCAGTGCATCTCTTTTTTTTTTTTAATGAAGGGTTGGGAGGTGTCGTGGATAGGGCCCAGGGAGGAAGTCTGGCAGGAGGCTTCACAGACCGAGTTCAGCCTACCTGTCGGCACACGGACCCACCCACACACAGGGATCACTCAAGACAGGACACACAACCTCACCACACACACGCCCGGGGGTATCACTCTGGACCGGAGCTATCTGGATGCCAGCGCCAGGGTGCACCAGCCTCGAACTCGGGGTCCTGCATCCCCGAGGCCCCCACCTGGGAGGCAAGATGCACCATAGTCACCGGGTGCTCCAGGGATGAGAGTCACTCCCGCTAGGAAGGGTGTGAGCCCTTCGCCCCTCCCGTACGCCTCCTACTGAGCCTCCAACCTCCTGGAGCCTTCTCCCCACATGGCCTCCAGCAACCCCATGGGGAGGCACACGCTCGACCGCCGCGGGGACCCAGGATGCACGGTCGGGGAGTCAGCATCTGATGGGCACCCTAGCGGATGAATCCCCAATTCAGACCGTTACAGCACCCTACGTACATCCGTACCTGTGGGAGCATGCGCACTCGGTGCGTGAGTGGTAGTGCATCGGTCTAACGCCCTGCCAGTGGCTTATGCACGAGGGTGCTGGGTTTGAGCCCGCAGCCTCAGACCACAATGTGCATTTCCAACCGGTGCCCTAACCACTGGGCCATCCGCCACTCACCGTACCAAAAAATTAAATTTCTTACATGTGTCGTACTCTGCAAGTCCGTGTGTTGTATTCCGTAGTCCATGCATTGTACTCCGTAGTATGTGCGTTGTACTCTCTACTAGTCTGTTGTACACTACCCGCAGCACCACTTTCGTCAAAGAAAAAACTTTAAAAAAGCTCAAAATTCTGCAAAAAATGTATGTAATAGAAGACATCATTCAAAACAACTTTTGCCGCAGACAATGTGTGAAATACGTAGCAGATTTTGAGTTACACAACACAAGGATGTGCTCGTCCAGTGTACAACATGATGCACGGTGTGTGGCAATGATGAACAATTCGTTTTTTTTCCTGTACCATGCGGTGAGGCCCTTATATAATCAAGACGGCAAGACCACACAACATAGAGAAAAACGAAAGACAAAAGTGTGCCGTACTATGTGGTAGTGAGTGATGTACTATCCAGGCATGTGTGACAGACTATGTGGGCCAGTATGACATACTATGTAGGCCCATCTGATGTATGTACGTGTGGAGCTTTACAATGTGGGTTGTGAGACATTGATTAGCGAAAGAAGTAGGTTGAGAGAAGTGCAGTTTTGAGTTTTCACCTCCCCGAAAGACTGTAGGCCAGAAAAAGATGCGGACCATAACTGGGACTCCAACAAAGTGTTTTGGGTTGCAAAAGTGTGCCGTCCAAAACGGCCGCTCGTTTGAGCCAAGACTGGACCAGGTACCATTTTAAGAACGGTTCATCCACTTCAGGATGAATCACACTGGAGTCTGAAGCTATGTTCAGGGGGGGCGCACGCGCACGAGCAAGAGCGTGTGCGCGCGCGCGCAAGAGAGAGAGAGAGAGAGAGAGAGAGAGAGAGAGAGAGAGGCCATTCAGAGGAAACCGTTTTCAAAATGGACATTTCAGTATAAATGGGACTTGAATCTGGCTCAAGTCTCGGTTGAAATACAGAAAGTGGGTGTGCATAATATATATATTGTCACATCACTACAAACTAAAAGAGCGCACTTTGCGGAACAAAGAATAAAAGCAAAAAACGGGCACAGTGAT